CCTCCTGTCTCCTCCTCTGTCTCCTCCTGTGTCTCCTCCTGTGTCTCCTCCTGTCTCCTCCTCTGTCTCCTCCTGTGTCTCCTCCTGTGTCTCCTCCTGTCTCCTCCTCTGTCTCCTCCTGTGTCTCCTCCTGTGTCTCCTCCTGTCTCCTCCTCTGTCTCCTCCTGTGTCTCCTCCTGTGTCTCCTCCTGTCTCCTCCTCTGTCTCCTCCTGTGTCTCCTCCTGTGTCTCCTCCTGTCTCCTCCTCTGTCTCCTCCTGTGTCTCCTCCTGTGTCTCCTCCTGTCCCCTCCTGTGTCTCCTCCTGTCCCGTCCCATCCTGCAGTGACCAGAGGCATGGCGTCCATCCTGTCGGAGGTCATGATGTACGTGTCCATCATCGGCCTGCAGCTCTGGCTGCTGGTGGAGATGATTTACTGCTACAGGAAGATCTCTGCGGCCGGAGAGGAGGCTCTGAGGGAGAGCGAGTGAGTCCAGAACCAGATCCACTAGACCACAGGTCCCTCCTGGGCCTGCCCCACCTGTTTGAGTCTGTCCCACATGTCCTCATGTCTCCTGCAGGGCCGAGTATTTAGCCATCGCCTCTGAGAGTAAAGAGAACTGTGCAGCTGAGCAGGCGGCGGAATGACAGGTGGGTCCAGAACCAGAACCAGAACCCAACAAAAACCACTTCAAGTCCAGTTCAAAACTGTTTAATCCAATTTAATCTAATCTGTTTGTTAAAAACAAATTTAATTGATCTCTCTGATCATCAGAGTTTAAAAACATTTAGATCAGATTTAAAGAATTAAAGTTTTTGTGTAAAAGTGATTTTTTTTAACAAACATGAACTGGAAAACTGTATTTTCTGTAAAAACTGCTGCTGAAGAAGAATCGAGTTATTAAATCTAAACAAAGTAGAGCACTAGCTAAAAGCTAAAAGTAAAGGTTAGCTAAATGCCAAAAAGTAGCAAAAAAAAAAACCTTGACGTTTTACTTTTAGAAAACATTTAATTCAAGTAACAAAAGTTGGAGTAAAATCTTTGTGACTGAACTCAGTTCGTCCAGCTTCAGTCTTTCTGCTCTCACTCGTCTACCCTGGTGTACCCCAAGGTTCTGTCCTCGGGCTCCTCTTTATTACTTACACCTGATGCATATTCCTTTCATACTAATCTGTACTTTTACACTTTTACTTGAGTAAACAGCTTGAGTTGATACTTCTACTTCTTAAAATGTATTTTTAACCCCTAGTATTTATATTTCTACTTGAGTAATGAATACTTTTAACTACAGTTTGTAATTTTAACCGTCTCCGTCCTCCTCGCTCCGCTGCGAGACGTCCCGGGTCGAGTCTGTAACGCTCTTGTTTTGGGCCCTCGCTCACACCAAGCTGGTTTTCAGTGAAACCACAACTTTTTGTTGCCAAGTAGCCGCTCTTTTACACGTCACTGGTGGTCGGAGTCTCTGACACGAAACTGTTGAACCTTTCAGTAACAGTTTTCAGAGGTGAGAAGCACCTCCCAGGTGTGAAAACATGCAGCACAAACAGTTTCTGCTACACGAGACCAGATAGACCCTGGACTGTGTTAACCCCTCTCTGTCTCTGTTCCAGACTGATCTGAAAGTCTCTCTTTAGATCAGCCGAAACGTCTTCATTTGGCTTATTTTATGGAAGTAGTTCTCTTTTTTACACAATTTTACCTGATGTGTGTTTCTTGTTTTACAGTGTCCTTGTCACAAAATGTATTCGTAGTTTTATTATTAAAGGACCAAGTATCAAAATACTAGCTAAAAGCTAAAAGTATCAAAACATGAAACTGTAGCTAAACAGTAGCTGTTAGCTAGCCTTTTGCTACATTAGTAGAAGGCTAACTAGTAGCAGATGCTACGAATAATAAATAGCTATAACTAAACTAAGTGAAGCAAAATCTAGCTAAAAGCTAACAGCAGCTAGAAAAGCAAAAAAACATTTAGCAGCTGAAGCAGATTTTGTTAAAGTTTCTGAAGGAACTGAAGAAATCTGCATGATTTTCTGTAAATCAAGTGAAATAGTTACGAAATCCAAAAGGGCAGCGATGTGCTGAACGAGCCGAATGTTTTGATTTATAAACAATCAAAAACATCATAAAGTCTGCAGGAGTTCGATGTAAAAAATAAAAAAGGTTAATGCTGACTCAGCGTTCATGATGTCATCCAAACTAAAATGTTGATTCTTTTTTTAATCAGTGGCACAAATGGTCTTCCATATGATCTGATCTGATCTGAGTGTAAAACTTTATGTAACAAGTTTGATGATTTTATTCATCACTTTTTATGACATTAAATGATTTTTAAACTTTTATTTTTTAGTAAAATAAAACCCTTTTTGTTCTTCGTCTTTAAGCTGCTTGAGATCTGTTTATGACTTTATTTCAATTTAAACGATGCTGAGATCCAAACATCTGTTTTCTTCACCTTCAGGTCCAGGATGAATCTCTGAGAACGTCTCCATGATGTCCCCCTCGTCCCCTCGTCCCCCTCGTCCCCTCGTCCCTGGATGGAAACACAAACCTCCAGAGAAACATGTTTTGATTTTAAACACTCGTTGAAACAAACCCAGGTTCTTCAGGTTCTATAGGAGGAGAACCGAGCTGTAAATAAGAGAACACGTGTTAGAAATGACATGCTAGCCTCCATGTCTGCATGCTGACAGGTAACCCTCAGATATTTTTCATTCAGGAGGATTTTATCTAAACCTGACAAAGAAGAAAGTTTTACAAGCAGAATATGTATTTACAGGTTTTAAAAGCACAAACTTTTATTTTGAAAATATCTTTAGCCTTGAAACAGGACCAAACAATTAAAGCTATTTAAGTTTTATTTTAACAGACTATGATTAACCTGATGACGTCACAGTGACACCTGGTGGGTGAAAATAAAACCTGCACATGGAGCAAAATAATAAAAAAATTAAACTAAAACCATTTTAAAAAAGGACAGACTGAGTTTATTGGACCTCAAATTTATTAAATTCCACCCACTCCACCCCCTGTTAACAATAGGTGTTAATTAGGTGTCAACGATAGCCATGTGATGTGAGTATCAGTCACATGGAGGCAGTGCTTAAAAGCCTGAATTTAGCCTGAAACTCTCAGACTGAAGAAGTCTCTTGGAGGAGAGACGAAACGTTTCATTAAAGAAGAACCCGTCCAGAAGACCTATACTATTTTTTGATTTTTACCTGGATTACTGAGATGCATCAGGACATTAAGTAAAACTACAAATAAACAGACAAAAATGTACTCTAGTAAAAGTACCACATCAACATTTTTACAAGTAAGTACTTGCTTTTAAAAGTACTTAGAGTATTAAAAGTACTCTCTTAATGTTGTGGGCATGCTGCTGCTGCAGAATCGCTCTGCTTTTTTTATTTTTCTTTTTGAAGGAGGGTCTAACGGTACTTTCCTGCTTTGCAGTGCTTCAATGGACCAGTTAGAGAAATCCTCCTCTCACCACTGATTACTTTCAAACTAAACATAATAAATAAATAAAAATAAAAATAAAGCAATGCGACGTGACATGAATTTGTAATTCAACGCATTACAGAAATGTAGTGGAGTAGAAAGTACAGATACCTAATGTAAAATGTAGTGGAGTAAAAGTCAAAAGTACCCATGATGAAATCTACTTAAGTAAAGTACAGCTACATGAAAAATGTACTTAAGTACAGCAACAAAGTACTTGTACTTAGTTACATCCCACCACTGTATATAGTATATTTACCTGAGAACCAAGCTCACAGAACATTATCCCTCAGCTGATTAAAGCTCGTTGTGAACTCAGCAGCTCGTGTGTCTCTCCTAGGTCTTAGTAAGATTTTTACTTTTAACAGTACATATCTTTTCCTCATTATAACTTTTTAAAACTTACATTTATTTTTAGTTTGAAGCACCAAGCTTTTTTTTTCTTTTAACAAATAAACAGGTCCAGATTCTCAGAACTTTTCACTTGAAATCACATTTTTCCTCCATTTCAGTCCAAATTTCTGTTTTGAGGATTTAGTTGCAGATGTGAGCACAGCTGGAAGCTCATCAGTAAATTATTATTATTTTTTTTACATTCAGTTGATCTAAAAGCACTTTATTGTGAAAATCTTGCAGGTTTCTTTTCTCTGATCTGACAGTTTGAACTTGAACACGTTAGAAAGTTTATTTTATTAATTAAAAGTTTAAAGTTTGCACAGGTGATCAGTTCAAATCAAAACTTTGTTTTATTTTAAAGTAAGGAGTTTTCAATCTGACAGACAATATTTTTTAATTAAATGTTTGTTCCAGAAACCTTAAAGTTCATTTATTATAAAAAATTATCCCAAAGGTTTATTTTTGTTTATTTTATTTATATAAAAGTTAATTTTCTTCAGGTTTTGGTTCTGCAGAATTTGGGACCAAAGTTCTGTTTCAGGTGTAAACATGTCAGAAACTTTTCCACTTGGTCTTTAAAGGTGTGACTTCCTGTGACAAACGGCCACGCCCCTTCCTGCCACCGCGCCGTCTGGTCGAGGCGAGCGTTTCTGCAGAACCAGAACCAACGGGCTTTAGTGTCAGAACTCACTGCCGGGGCCAGAGGCTCCTCTAACCGCCCCGCGTGCCTCCAAGACTCTTTACCTGCACGAGCTGGAATGACCTTTGACCCCCTGACTCCTCCCCTTTTTGAATGACCTTTGACCCCTGACTCCTCCCCTTTTTGAATGACCTTTGACCCCTGACTCCTCCCCTTTTTGAATGACCTTTGACCCCTGACTCCTCCCCTTTGTATGAATCCATTTAAACAATAAAAGTCCAGTTCCCTCCTCATGTAACAGACTGGTTTGTTACTTTTATTGTGAAAAGCTGCTCAGTTTTCCTTTGATCTTTCTTTGATGTTTTTGTTTGATCTCATCAGTTTTGTGTGTCAGTAAAATATCTCGTGAACCAGATTTGAATAAAACTCAGTAAATAAAAGGATGAACTGTTGGAGTAAATTCAAGATGGCCGCCACAGCTAACAGAAAGCCCTGTGAGGTGGAGTGGTAGTAGCTGAGAGTCGTCCTCACACACTCTGATGGTTTCTGAACTTCTTTTATTTAAAGTTTTCATCTCAAACTGTTGTTATGAGAGTTCGACAGAGTTCATGATTTAATATTTATATTTTAGATTCTTTCGCTCTTTCAGCACAAGAATAAAAAAAGAAGCAGAACCAGCAGGTTTGTTGCAGGTTTTCAGATTTTTTCCTTTTTCTACAATCACTTTCTTTTTTACAGAACCTCCAAATAAATACCTTCAGGTTCCTGCAGGCGGCCGAGCGCCGCAGGGCCCGACGGGACCGACAGAACGGGCCGGGCTCAGGAGGCGGGGCCGGACCACCAGTTCTTACATCATCGAGTCGACAAAATAAAGGAGAAGACACAAAGACGAAACGGTTCTGATCCAGAGAAAAACAAAAACACTGAAGAGCTGCTTCCCTTTGACTTCACCTGGTCTGACAGCTTCTGATTGGTCCGTTTGTTTTGGGTCGGCTGAACGAATACAAACAAAAACAAACAAAACAAACACCAATATAAAAGTAGCATCTGTAACAGAGAGGCTTCACACACACACACACACACACACACACACACACACAC